CATCTACGTAATACTGCACCATGTTAACATCTATTAAGTATCTTGCAGGGAGATACTTTGAGACCACAAAAATGTTGTTTCTTATTCTTTTGCCTGCTGATTTTAGCCCCCATCAACAATTCTTACCTGCACTGATTATAAGTGCAATGTTTGCCTAATGGTGATTCTTGGTTTCCATCATTCCTTCCACATTTATTAGCTAGAATTATAGGATAAGGAGCTGTGACTATTTGTTTTCTTGTTATTTATTTATCATTATTCATTTATCAATCACCATGGACTATGGATATTTATTTTAGTTCATGGATTATAGAGTTAAATTATTATTTTGTTGCTCAAATGGTCCGAGCTTTGGTCCCAGCTCCCCTTCGGACATGCTCCCTTCCGTTGGGATCACTTTCTTACCTTGTGGCACCACCAGATAGTCCAGGCCCATCTTGCTCCTGCCTCAACTCTGGAAGCCCTATATTTTTGTTGGAAAATGACATTTGGAAACCAAGATCTGGACGCTAGATTTCATTGCTATGGAGGGTCATTGCTTCTAGGTCCTCTCATGAACAGAACTAGGAAACATAAGTATATGTGTGTAGCACATATCTCTATTTCTCTATCCATTTGTATATATATTTAAAATCACAAATTTATATCAACACTTCCAATTCCAAGGCAACACAACAGGGTTCATTCCAACCTTTACTCCTTCCTTATTTGTAACTTGTTTTTCCTGATGGGGAGAAACCGGGACTCTCATTATCTACAATGTATTTACTTATTTGCTCAGTTCTAGAACACAGATAAAGGAGTTTCACAATTACTAATTTAATTTATAACCCTATGGAAAACAAATGTCTTAACTGGAGTGCTATATTAGTGTAGAGCTGTTTTAGTCTCTAGTCTTACAGTAGACAGCCAAAATGCTGTTTTCTGAAGTTACTTAAGTTGGTTCTTTTCTTCTCCACCATCCAATGTCGTGGTGATTCTTAGCCACATCCAGCGCAGCTCCGTCCTGTCCCCGCCTGCACTGTTTCGGCTTCCTTCCACACCTTGGCTGTATGGATGGGCACACGCGTGTATGCAGATGCTGGCATGCTTCTGAGGGTCAGAGCTACCCAGACTGGTGTCGTCGAAGAAACACCACTTTCCCCTTGTCACGTGGCTACTCCCTTCCCACTCCCCCACCCTGTCCTCACCTCTTCCCTAGGGGACCCAAAGTCTGTTTCCAGTTTATATGTATTGCATTTTCTTCTTTCAGAAATGAGCAGATACGTGTAGATTTTCTTTTATACTACTGTTTATTTTACAGAGATGTAATGGACATTAAATTCACCCTTTTAAAATGTACAATTCCGCAGTTTTTAGTACATTCACAGTGCTTTGCAACTACCATCTCAATCTAATTTTAGAACATCTTCATCACCCCAAACAGAAACCCCGTACTCCACTCCCCTCCTTCCTAGCCCCAGGCAACCACTCATCTACTTGCTGTCTCTACGGATCTGCCTGTTCTGGATATATATATATTTTTTTAAGATTTTATTTATTTATTTGACAGAGAGATAGAGAACACAAGTAGGCAGAGAGGCAGGCAGAGGGAGAGGGAGAAGCAGACTCCCCACCAAGCAGGGAGCCCAACGTGGGGCTTGATCCCAGGACCCTGGGATCATGACCTGAGCCGAAGGCAGCCGCTTAACCGACTGAGCCACCCAGGCGCCCAGTTCTGGATATTTTATATAAATGGGACCATACAGTATGTGGCCTTTCGTGTGGCCTGTCACTAGGCCCATCCATGCTGTAGCATCTCACGTTCCCATGAGCACGAGGGCTCGTTTCTCCACATTCTCGCCAACACTCTTCTGTGTTTCTGATTATAGCCACGTGAGTGTGTGTGAGTGGTATCTCTTCGTGGTTGTGGTTTGCATTTCTCTAATAACTAATGATGCTGACATCTTTTCATATGCTTATTAGCCATTTGTATATCTTATGTGGAGACCTGTCTATATTTAAGTCTTTGGCCCGCTTTAAAATAGATTATCTTCTTTTATTGCGGAGTTGTAAGAGTTCTTTATATATTCTGGACTCAATTCCCTTATCAGATATATGATGGCGTCCTTTAATGTACTAATGTGTTTAATTTTGATCAAGTCCATTTACTTTTCTTTTGTGGCTTTGACAATCTCAGGTTTTACACTAGACCCTTAATTCATTTGGAATTTTTTCTTATGTATGGTGTGAAATATGGACCCATAATTTTATCTTTTAAAAAAACGGCTCTCTAGCTCTCCTAGGACCATTTATTTAAAAGTTGAAGCTGGCCCCAGGGATTTGAGACATCATCTTTGCCATATACTAAATTTCCATATGGCTTCAGGTCTATTTCCGTGCTTTCTATTCTATTCCATTGTTCCACCGTGTGGCAGTCCATACTATTGTAATTAGAGGTTTTAAAGTATGTTTCAAGGTTTGGAAGGGCCAGTTCCCCAGGGGGGCCTTTCATTTTCCGTGTTTTCCTGGCTCTTCCTGAATGTTTGTTTTCCCATAGGAACTTCAGTAAAATTGATTAACATAAAACTTAACTAAATTTTCTCACTTCTCGTTATTTTACAGTTCCATTTCTTTACCTGTAAAATAAACGAACCCTCTCACCTTTTCATCGGGTCACTGGTGTCAACCTGTGAGGGGTAAATCTAGAGTTTAAGAGCCTTTCTCCACACTGAGTTAGTCCCTTGAATTATGGTCTTCCTTCTTCCCAGTCCAGGTAAATGCTCTGCAAGACAAAGAAACCTTGGTGTCTCCATCTCCCCACTGTTTGTTCCTGAAGGAACAGAGCTTTCCCAGGAGGCCCAAGTTCCAGGCATTGCACAGTGAAAACACTGCTGTACCTTGAACCTGTCGTAAACCGGGCAACTTACTCTGAGTCCTAAATTCCGCAGAGGTGAACACAAAGGCATCCGCCGCATCAACGGTCTGTCCTGTCCCTCGGTAATAAACCGGCTCCCTCCCGCCCCCTGGAAAAGAGAAAGGAGTGTTTTTGCCAAAAAACTAAATCATTTTCGCTTTAACCAGTAGATCTGTGCATCCTGCGTACTTCTCATCGGCCTGCCCCTGCGCTCTGGTCAGGCCCCACACAGCTCCTCAGGACCGCAAGGCTCACTCACAGGAATCCGCGCCAGCGCTGCGGCCCCCACGGGCGCCCCTCCCCGAGCCCAGGCCGGGCCACAGCCGGGTCGGGAAGCCGGGGCCAGGCGGTCACTCGACCCCTGGGGCCGCGCCGAGCCCGGACAACAGCCCCCTCCCCCGACGCTCCCCCGGGATCACCCGGAGCCCGGACCCTCCCCCCTGGGAGGTCCCCCGCCGACCTTTAACCCTCCCCCCGGGCCGCCCCGAGCCCGGACCCTCCCCCCAGGAACCCGCCTACCTCGGACCCTCCCCCAGGGCCTCCCTGGGCCGGGACCCTCCCCCGAGGAACCCGCCTACTTCGGACCCTCCCCCAGGGCCTCCCTGGGCCGGGACCCTCCCCCGAGGAACCCGCCTACTTCGGACCCTCCCCCAGGGCCTCCCTGGGCCGGGACCCTCCCCCAGGGCCTCCCTGGGCCGGGACCCTCCCCCCAGGAACCCGCCTACCTCGGACCCTCCCCCAGGGCCTCCCTGGGCCGGGACCCTCCCCCAGGGCCTCGACCCTCCCCCCAGGAACCCGCCTACCTCGGACCCTCCCCCAGGGCCTCCCTGGGCCGGGACCCTCCCCCAGGGCCTCCCTGGGCCGGGACCCTCCCCCCAGGAACCCGCCTACCTCGGACCCTCCCCCAGGGCCTCCCTGGGCCGGGACCCTCCCCCAGGGCCTCGACCCTCCCCCCAGGAACCCGCCTATCCCGGACCCTCCCCCAGGGCCTCACTGGGCCGGGACCCTTCCCCGAGGAACCCGCCTATCCCGGACCCTCCCCCAGGGCCTCACTGGGCCGGACCCTCCCCCCAGGAACCCGCCTATCCCGGACCCTCCCCCAGGGCCTCCCTGGGCCGGGACCCTCCCCCCAGGAACCCGCCTATTCCGGACCCTCCCCCAAGGAACCCGCCTACCTCGGACCCTCCCCCAGGGCCTCCCCGGGCCGGGACCCTCCCCCGAAGAACCCGCCTACTTCGGACCCTCCCCCAGGGCCTCACTGGGCCGGGACCCTCCCCCCAGGAACCCGCCTACCTCGGACCCTCCCCCTGGGCCTCCCTGGGCCGGGACCCTCCCCCGAAGAACCCGCCTACCTCGGAACCCCCCTGGGCCTCACTGGGCCGGACCCTCCCCCCAGGAACCCGCCTATCCCGGACCCTCCCCCAGGGCCTCCCTGGGCCGGACCCTCCCCCCAGGAACCCGCCTATCCCGGACCCTCCCCCAGGGCCTCACTGGGCCAGGACCCTCCCCCGAGGAACCCGCCTATTCCGGACCCTCCCCCAAGGAACCCGCCTACCTCGGACCCTCCCCCAGGGCCTCCCCGGGCCGGGACCCTCCCCCGAAGAACCCGCCTACTTCGGACCCTCCCCCAGGGCCTCACTGGGCCGGGACCCTCCCCCCAGGAACCCGCCTACCTCGGACCCTCCCCCTGGGCCTCCCTGGGCCGGGACCCTCCCCCGAAGAACCCGCCTACCTCGGAACCCCCCTGGGCCTCACTGAGCCGGGACCCTCCCCCGAAGAACCCGCCTACCTCGGACCCTCCCCCAGGGCCTCCCTGGGCCGGGACCCTCCCCCCAGGAACCCGCCTACCTCGGACCCTCCCCCGGGGCCTCCCTGGGCCGGGACCCTCCCCCGAAGAACCCGCCTACCTCGGAACCCCCCTGGGCCTCACTGAGCCGGGACCCTCCCCCGAAGAACCCGCCTACCTCGGACCCTCCCCCAGGGCCTCCCTGGGCCGGGACCCTCCCCCCAGGAACCCGCCTACCTCGGACCCTCCCCCGGGGCCGCCCCGAGCCGGGACCCTCCCCCGAGGAACCCGCCTATCCCGGACCCTCCCCGCCTCTCTCTCGGGGCCGCCCGAGCCCAGACTCTCCCCCTCCCCAGGGGCCGCCCGGGGCCCGGACCCTCCCCCTGGCCGCGAGGAACCCGGTCCCAGGCGGGAGGTGTGCTGGGGGCGGGGCGCCCGCGACCCGGAAGCGGGGACGAACACAGGGGAGCCCGAGAGATGGCGGCGGTGGCCGTGAGCAGCGCCAAGCGGAGCCTGCGGGCCGAGCTGAAGCAGCGTCTGCGCGCGATGAGCGCCGAGGAGCGGCTGCGCCAGTCCCGCCTCTTGGCCCAGAAGGTGCGAGACCGCGAGGTCCGCCACCGCAGCGAACCGCCACGCTCGCGGCACGGCCAGGGGGGCTCTGGCGTGGCGGCCTGCGCAGGCGCAGCCCGGCGCGCGCACGTCGCTCCCGGGCGCGCGCGCGTCTCCGCGGGAGCCGGGGGGACGCCTCCGGGGGCGCGCACGTCCTTCCGTCGGGGGAGCGCGCGGCGAAGGGGTCCCGGGCTACGGAGGGCGAGGGTGGAGGTGGCTGGATGACAGCCGGCCGAGGTGAGCGCGGGGTGGGGGCAGGGAGCTCTGGCGGGCGGAGCGGCGGGCACTGAGCCCGAGGGGCCCCGAGGCCCCGGGAGCGTGGACGCGCAGCCAGAGCCCAGGCGCCTCGGGGACGCGAGCGGAGAAGCGCGCGCCCGTGCACCTGCCCCCGCGCGCTGCCCGGGAGCGCGGGTCGTCCACGCGAGGCGGGGCGGGCCTGGGCAGTCCGGCGCGCCCTGCCGTGAGCTGTGCAGCCGGATCCCATCCTCACCCTCCCCTGCTCCGTGTCCACCCGCTTCCCAGGTGCGAGGTCCCCGTGGGTGACAGCGGCCAAGCAAGCCCACCTCCCCCTCCTTCCACGCAGGTGTGCAGGGTTGGTGCGCACGTTCGCACCGAGTTACTGGAGCTGCAGGGAGAGGCGGTGCCGGGCGCCCGGGGCGAGCAGACAGGTGGAGGAGCTTGGCCTCGCCGGCAGGTGCTTCGGTCTTGGCGCCTTAGGTCGCGCACAGCGAGCGCTCGCTGCGGTCCACGCTGGCCACGTGCGGGTGGCGGGGACCAAAAAGATTTGGTCGTTGCTCTGAAGGAGCGTCTGCGCTGCGTGGAGAGTCGCGGTGCTCTCAGGTCTACGGTGAACGCCAAAGCTGTAGAAAGCGCCACGGAAGATGTTCAAGATGCACCCGTGGAGGAAGATGGACGTGGCCAGGTGGAGGGAAGGGGGTGTGGCACGTGCAAGAATATTCTGGCAGGAGAAAGAAGCACGCTGGTGAACACGGCCTGTGGGGCTACCCAGATCTGCGCCCAATCTGGCTCCACGGCCGAGTCTCCTAATCTCTCCGAGGGTCTGATTCCTCATCCATTAAAGGGATAATGTCATCCTTGTAGGCCTATTGTGAGGGTTTAAACAGGTGGGTAAAGGGATGACTTTGGTGCTTCACATTTTTTAAGGAGTTTATTTTTAAGTAATCTCTACACCCAAGCAAGGCGGGGCTTGAATTCACAACCCCAAGATCAAGAGTTTCGTGCCTCACCGACTGAGCGGGTCAGGCATCCCTACACGTGTTTTTGATCTATCCTTTAGGAAAAGCATGTTGGCAGCATTTTGGAAAGCGGGAGTCTGTGCAGTTGAGAATCAGCCGGACCTGGCAACTGGTTGGAGAGAGCTCAGAGAGTACTGGAAAGGAGAGGAGTCTCCTGTGATTTCAACATTCAGAGCTGGGGGTTTAAGGTCACCAGACGGGAGGCACAGAGGAGCTGGAGCAGATTTTGGAATGGTGTGGGGAAAATAAAGATGAGTTTGGTTTGTCTGCCTGTAGAAGATTAGAGTTCATAAATCCCAGGTGGGAACAGTAGCTGCGCAGACACAGAACCGGTGACAAAATAGGGTGACCGCTCAGAGCTGGCAACAGAGGAGAGAGAAAAGCTGAAAAGCAGACCATGACCCTCCGTACTCCGTACATTTTACCCCCTGCAAATACACACATACAAGAGATGTTTCACAGCCCAGTGTTTCACAATTCTTACTATATACAGTGAACTTTACTATATTGTTTTACTTAAAAATGCTGATTGTAACCTGCTATTGATTTCATGGTCGACCAATGGATCATGGCCAGAAACCTCCACATGCTGTGATTAGAACAGTGTTTTACCATAGTGCACGTTCAGTAAAGGTGCTAAGTGATGCCTTTCTCTCAATAACGTTTTTTAAAAGGCACATTCTTAATGACACAGCAGCTTTTTTTATAATTTAGAAATTTATCGGAAAAGCGATGTACGGTGAAGAAATTCAACTTTATGCCATATCTTGACTCCCAACTAAATAAGGAAATTAGTGCCCTGTACTCTGTCTTCTGTTCCATCTGCCAATTTCTGACCCCTGTATCATCGTACTTAAATTGTCAAGTTTTATATTTGAGTTCTGTTTTATTTTTATTTTTTATTTATTTTATTTTTTTTTCAAAGATTTTATCTATTTATTTGACAGAGAGACACAGCGAGAGAGGGATCACAAGCAGGGGGAGAGGCAGAGGGAGAAGCAGGCTTCCTGCTAAGCGGAGAGCCCGATGCGGGGCTTGATCCCAGGACCCCGGGATCATGACCTGAGCCGAAGGCAGACGCTTAACAACTGAGCACCCAGGTGCCCCTGTGTTCTGTTTATAATTAGATTGAGTCTACTGAGCATTTTCTGTGACTGATTTCCAAATTTGGACTTTAGGTAAATAGTATTTACAATATATTGGTTATATAGATAGTATTCACTGTAAAACGAAGTTGTATGATTATAAGAAAAGGATGTATATTTCTATGTCGCTAGATGTAGCTAGGCGGAGAATGTTTCAAGTGTCATTATGAGAACTCTCTTTCATTATGCTCTTAAATTGCTCAAAATCGTGACATGTTTTAGTCTGTTCCTATTTGGAATTTACATTTCTAATTTAGCTCTGTGTTTTTCAAGGAGCTTCTGATCGCCTTTATTTTTCCTTTTTGGCAAAACAAGAATATGCATTCATCTTATCAGTAGATTCTTTTTCATTTTGTTTGTTTAAATAAATCCATTTTCTTCCCGAGAGCATTCCAGCCCCCTGCTCCCTCTGCTCTAGCCCAGTGCACAGCCTGGGCTTCCTCCCACTCTGCTTCTGAGTTAGGGCTGCTACTCGAACCCAGTATCTTCCTGGTTGGGTTTCTTTCTTCCCATCTTACTAGAGTATATTCTCAAGTAATTTTTTTCTTTTTAGAAATATCTATGGGGGTAAACTTTTTAAGACTTTATGCATTAGAAAATGTCTTTACCCTCATATTTGACTGATAGTTTGAATTTCAAATTAAAAAATATTTTCCTTTGTTCTGCTCAGCACTCATGACCTTCATTCAATCTGAAGACTGGTATCTTTATCTATTATATCTTTGATTACTTCTTTGCCTTTGTGCCTCTGCAATTCCTGTGAACCAAATAGTGATAATCCTATGCTGACTTTCTGTGTCTCTTAAGATTTTTTTTTTTTTTTTTTTTTTACTTTCCCCATCTCTTTGTCTTTTTCTCCTACTTGAAGTCTTTCTCCTGATCTTTCAAATTTTGGTATTCTTAATTTTAATCTTCAAGTATCATTTCTTGATTTTCTGATTGCTTTCTTTCCATAGCAGCCTGTTGTTATTTTATAGATGCAACTATCTTGAATTTGAATTTAAAAATTCCCCATTCTCTGAATTATCTCGGTTTCCCACTGGATCACCCCCCCCCCAATAGTCCTTCTCTTTTGTGTTTTGGCTTCCTAAAATGTTTGCTGAACCTTTATTGTATTTATGAATGAAGGTGTGACATCTCCTGGGGATCTCTGCCTTTTGCAGTCACTTGGGGAGGGATGGGTTCTTCCTGCCCCATAGCCATGTCCTGTGAGTTTTATGTCAGCTGCTGTTTGTCCCATCTCCTCTCTGTCTCACAGAAAGTAGTCACGTGTCTGTTCTCCTGTTCTCAGTGCTATAATGGTTTTCTCTTTTCGTGCTTCTTTACTGTCGTATAAATGAGATTTCAGGAAGTAGGAAAGATAAATGCTTACACACAGCCTCGCCCTGAATTTTAACTGATGTCTATTGCTGCGTATTCAGCTCTTGATGTTTCATGTTCTCTTTAAAGAGAACAAACACGACAGACACTTAACTTTCTCGGAAAGTACTTGGGTACCAGAAGCCTCAGGTCTGCGCAGGGTCTGGGTGTCGCATTTCTTTTCGTTTCGCCTTATTTCAGGCCTTGTCACAGTGTTGTAACTTCCCAAGGAGATGGAGCTCACTTCCTTCCTCAGCCACCGTCTGGCGTGTTCTGTCTACTGAATTTCTATGCGCTCCTTTCTATTAGGAGTAGCTTGACTTTCTGTATCTGTCTCTTTCTACCAGGCCTATTTATAAGCCAGTGTTGCGGTAGCTGGGTCTTCTTAGCTCGGAAGAACAGAAAAGGAAGGGGAGCTAAGAGCTAACTTGTGAGTCTGGGGCAGTTCTGCGGTTAACTGCTCTGTGGCTGGCAAAGCTCAGCCCCTCTCCTGCCTGATGCATGAACAAACTGAGCATGATGGCGTTCTCTCATCCTGGGGCCACCTTCTTGCAACCGGGCATTTGTTTCTAGAAGGACTGCGCCTCTCCAGGATCCCCACCTCCCATCTCTGCAAACACTTTAACATCTGTTTGGACAGAAAAATTGTAAGAGGTGGGGACAGAGGTGCACAGAGCTGAAGAAGGACAGGCATGTCCCCTGCTTCCAGGAGCTCACAGCCTGGTTAGAATACTGTAGTTAGGACTCGTGAAACAGTTAGTAATCAGCCCGATGATACATAAGTCAATGTTAAGTGCACTCTTAAGTGTTGTAAGTGTTCTGCAGAAATCAGGAGAAGCGAGCGCCCGAGTTGGCTTAAATGGGTGGAATTTAGGGGGAGATGAGCCTGACAGTCCAGGGAGTGAAGAAGCTTGTGAGAACCGAGGTTCAGAGTTAAAGCAAGGCAGAGATGCTCAGGGCAGTGTGTGGGGTGACTGAAGGCAGCCGGCACATGTGGCTGGAGGGCAGGCCTGGGATTCTGCGTGCAGACAGCAACTTTCTAACGAGTTCTCGCTCCTGCTAGAGAAAGACGACAAGGGGTCAGAGAGGTGGTTGCTGGGTTCAGAACCAAGCCCTGGGCTTCAGGATGCAGCCCTGTCCGGCCCCCTCTGCCACTCTGCTCCCCGTTGGTGATTTGTGTTTGGATAGTTCAGGGAGCTGGAGAAGGTGGAGAGAGAAGGGAGAAAGCATGAACACCGTGAAGGGGGGCGCTACTGGTGTTTGCACGTGTAACCTTGGGGGATCAATGTGACTGCCATTTCCCATTTAGGTGATGGCCCACAGTCGGTATCAAAAGTCCGAAAGGATTTCCATCTTCCTGAGCATGCAAGACGAAATCGAGACAGAGGAGATCATCAAGGACATTTTCCGGCGAGGCAAAACCTGCTTCATCCCGAGGTACCAGTTCCAGAGCAATCACATGGATATGGTGAAGCTGGCATCGCCCGAGGAAGTCTCCTCGCTTCCCAAAACGTCCTGGAACATTCATCAGCCCGGAGAGGACGAGGTTCGGGAGGAAGCTTTGTCGACAGGTGAGCACTAACGGTATTGAGACTGACATCCCAGGGTGCCGGCAGACGGGGACATTCGGGTCGTGGGGGCCGCTTTTCTTACAGGGACGAACGGTGTGGCACTTCTGTTGCAAGACACCCTCGTTACCCGGCTTAGGGCGAGATGCCCCCGTAGGCTGTGAGACTAAGGTATTCAGGTGTGGCCGCCTTTGCCCTTAGCCATGGGTCGGATTCGACATTTTCCCTGGAGAATTTCATCATTTCCCATGATCCCCCTTATGCTCCATATATTAAGGAGCACATTATTATTAATGCTAATAAGCTTTTCTGTCTCCGCTTCAGATCAGGCACCTGCCTTCTGAACACCTCCTCTTGGATGTCACGTGGGCATCAGCCTGCTCCAGGCTGAATCCCGTCCCCCTCGGCCCCTCCGGCCGCGTGTCCCTCTTAGTGCGTGGTGCTGTCCGCCACGCGGCTGGCCGTGCCAGGAATCTCAGGATCATCCTTGACTCCCCTCTCTCTCTCTCTCTCTCTCTCTCACACCCCTCGTGTGGTCCACGGCCAAGTCCTTAGGATGTTACTGCCAGATGTTTATTGCGCGTGTCCGCCGTTCTCCTCTGCGGCCCCGCGGCCCGTCTGCAGTCCAAGCCACCAGCGTTGTCCCCACGGCCTCCTCACTGCTGCTCCTTGCCACCTCTCGCACCTCTCTGCCCTGTTGGTCCGCTCTCTACACAGTCCGTGCGACGAGATTCCCAAGACACACATCTGACTGCGTCTCTGCCCTGTTTCAGGCGTCTCGGCGACCTCCTGCTGCCCTGGGGGGGAACCGGACACTCCTTACGAGGCTCTTCCCGACTTGGTGCTGCGTGTCTGTCCGTTTTCACCTCTCTCCGGTCCCCCACTGTGTAATCCAGGTTCCAGCCACTCTGAGTAGCTCTGTCTCCCAGCCCTGCTGGCTTTCTTTACTGCTGGGCCTTTGCACACGCTCTTCCCTGGCCAACGGCCAACAGCCGCTTGGGAGATTTAATCGTTAATAAGTAGTCAAAGAGCTGAAAGCAAAACAAGACAGGGATACTAGTTTGTCAAATGATGACTCAGACCTTCTTAAAGGTGTATGTTTGACTAAGACTTAAACGGTTGCAAGGAACCCCAGAGCAGTTTTGTGAAGTCATCTCTCTCTTTCTGCTTCCTTCCAACCTAACGCTGTAACCCACAAAATCAGCATTATGGGGCGGGAGGGGATAGAGCAGGGCTTATCGTGGTGGGGGGGTCATCTGCTTGGCAACTTTAACTCCCCCTCTATTATCCAGTCCTGCACTCTGCTAGAAGTTACGCACCAAAGGTATACTCAGATCTACCTCCTTCCTGTCCTGCGTCGGTAGACCGGAGGAATGCCAACATTATGGGACGGTGGCCTGTCTTCAAGGGGAGAGATTGCAGGTATTTGAAGACAATGAGACAATAAGGGGGTGCGGTATATCTCGGGGAGTAGCCCAGCCTTGCACGATGAGGCTGGGACATTGCTCAGAATGAACGCAGCTACCTCTGCGGACTTGCAGGCTTACGGGTGGGACCCAAGACCGTCTAGCTCTGTCTGACTCTGTGTTAGCTGCCCCTTCAGTGCTCACACCACCTCGTGATGTCCCTGCTGAAATCCCCATCGCCAGTTCTTCCCGGGGTACAGTCTCTGTAACAGTTTGGCCCATTCTGGAGTGTATTCCTTAGGTTGAGCCAAAGTGTGCACCCTGAACCTTTATGCCTTTGTTCTATTTCTATTTAAGTACAGCAGTGGGAAGAGTAAGGAGGAGACATGATCTTTCCTCTTAATCTAGTTTCATTTCCCGCTTATGATAAACTCAGTCCAAGTCAATGAGCTAAATCATTTATGTGTGGTTTTTAGAGCTATTTGGTAAACAGTTATTCTTTTTTTTTTTTTTGAGTGAGAAAGAGAGAGAGTGTGCACATGAGTCGGGGTGGGGAGGGGCAGAGGGAGAGAGAATCCATAGACTCCCCACTGAGTGAAGAGCCTGATACAGGGTTTGATCCCAGGACCCCGGGATCATGACACGAGCCAAAGGCAGATGCTTCACCGACTGAACCACCTGGGCATCCCAAATAGTAACTTCTTAATTTTGAGCAAGGAAGACAGAATTACTCATTTTACTATCAACTCATTGCTAGCCAAGGGTGTAATATTTTGATAATTTCCAAGAAACGTTTCCTGAGCATCTTCATTGTGTTAGACACTGTTAGGTCTGGAAAGAGGAGGTCCTGGACTTCAGGGGGTCGCACTCTAACTGGGGAGACAGCAAATGTATGTAAATAGAAAACTATCCCAGCCTGCAATACATGTCAGATACAGGCACGAAATGAAAAGGTAGAGAATATTAAGAATATAGAAGTTCAGGGCTTGGCCCTGCATAGAAAGAAGTCCACCCAAGAAACTGTTCATTTCCTTCCTCCAGTGCATTTATCCACGCTGTAGTTACGGGGCCAGTTGCTTTCCCCGTGTGTGTTCTTCTTGGCAGACCCTTGTGATCTGGGTTGCAGGGCGGGGGGGGGTCATACCTGGTTTCTTGCCACTGCAACCTGGGGATGAGGCTCTTCGCTGCCGTTGGTAGAAATGTTTGAGCAGGCACGTCTGTCACTGGCACCGTGGGTTCCCACGGCCTCAGCAGCTTGGCATGTGGCAGCTTTGGGGCTGAGGTGCAAATCGAGCTTCATGGTGTCTGGGATGAGCTGGTTAGACCTCAGATCGTCCCTCCTGGAATGGCTTATGTAGCCTGTTTACCTTTCTGTTTTGCCCGTGTTATCACGGCTTAGAAAAGAGTGAGCTTTTGTGTCTGCAGTTGTAATTGTAAGTTCTTAAAAATTTCACATGGGGTTTGCTTGCATGGTGTGTACAGCGAAACGAGATCGCTAAGTGGAAGAGAGGGGCGGCCTCTTTCCTGAACTTGTCCTCGGAGTGAGGGCCGCTCAGGCAATTAGGTGAGCCAGGAGTCTTTCCGCGGAAAGCACATAATCTGATTCAACATGGCTTAATTGAAAATGGGATTTTATTGGCTCAGAGACTGAAAAATCCACAGAAGGGCTAGCTTTCGATACGGCTAGATCAGAGTTCTCAGGATCAGTTTTGACTCTGCCTTCATCTGGGTTGGCTTCAGTTCCAGGTGCCCCATGGTGGCCCGTGGTGGCCCGTGGTGGCCTTTGGTGGCCCATGGCAGCTCCATGTTCCACAGCAGCCTTGCCATTCACATTCCTGGCAGAAAGAAGCAAGTCTGCGAGTAAAACCCTGCTCTTATTCTCACTGACCCAAATTGGGTCAAGTGGCCATCCCCCAAATCAGTCATTATGGCCAGGGACATGGACGAGGCCAGCTCCTGGGCCATTTACTGTGAGCAGGGAGGAGCATGTGCCCACTGCCCAGTGGGTCCTGTGTCCACCCCTGCAGCGCTTCTCCAACCACTGAGCTGGGAGTCAGGCGGGGGACTTGCCACGGGAAAAACAGGCACTAGGTTGGAGCAAGGGGGATGGACACTGGACAGTCCCAAGTTCAGACTCACCTGTCCTGTCAATCATTTCTGAAATTCCTTTTTTTTTTTGAAGATTTATTTGTTTTGCGGGGGAGGAGCAGAGGGAGAGGGAGAGAGAGAATCCTCAAGCAGACTCCCCGCTGCACACGGAGCCCGGATGTGGGGCTGGATCCCACGACCCTGAGCCGAAACCAAGAGTCGGACGCTCAACCGACTGTTGAGCGCCCCCCTTTCTGGAATTCTGTAGAACATAGCAAGCTGTTTGCCGTCACTTTGTCCGTGCTGTCGTTTTATTTCTCCTCTTTCCAGAGGCTCTTTGGGAATTCATACCTGTGTGTGGGCCCCTGAAACGTGACTTGAATGAACGATCGTAATGGAGACTTTCTCGTCCTCAACCAGAACACTTTAAAGTAATTGAATGGGACGTTGTCAAGGACAGAGTCTTCGAGCATAACACGTGCAGCTTCCTCCTTGGTGTTCGTGAACAGTGCTGTTGGGAGGGGGAGGCTTGGTTCACTGAAAGTAATTCCCGTTAAATTGACCTCATTTCTTTCTCTAACAGGATTGCGTGGCCTCAGAAAGAATATAATAAAGAGAGTGGGTGTGAATTTCATCAAGGTATTTGACAGAGTCATGGTATCCTTGAGGGTAAGCTGAATAAATTTAGATCGGATCATAATACTTCTTTCAGAAAGTATTTATCGCACGCCTGGTCTGTGTGAGCTGTGACGGGGGCAGAGCAGGGAGCGGGGTGGACCGGTCCCCGTCGCCGCAGAGCTGACGAGCCCGTGGTCCTCGCCAGGACAGGTTTGTGCGAGCCTGTTGCAGGGCTCCGTGCTGTCCCGTTCAGCGCTTTGTTGCCACTTAGATGTCCCCCTGTCCCCAAGGATGTCTGAGTTCATCCTTATCATTCTCTTTGTGTTTTCCCCATTCCTGTCAGGAGACGGTTTGGAACGTAGGATGATCCTTGTCTCTTTTCCACCCCTCTGGTTTTCACACATCGCCAGATTTTTCTTTGCAATGTTTTTATCACCTGTCTCGAATTCCAGCTTTGGGGGAATCTTTTGTCTACAGTTTTGATTCTTCAGATCAGTTCCATTGCAATAAACTTCAGATTGGTTTCCCGGATATACTGACTTTCCTAAAATACCTTTTGGGGCAGGTCACCTCCCCTCTGAAGCCTTTCCCTGGGCCCTGGATAGATCTGTGTACCTGAGCAGACCCTGGTTCCTTGCCAGAAGAAGGGACACTGGTTAACCCTGAAACACTGAGGTCACCCTCTGGACCTTCCCCGTCCTTCCGCCTCGACTCCTGCTTCAGCCAGAGGTCTGCTGGACAGCGGTTTCCCAGCAATCCAGAACATAGATGGGAATCACATAAATCTCATTTTGCCCCTTTCTCCTGTGGGACTTACAGCCTTCGGGCCTCAGACTTCTCCCCTGCAGACGGTGTCGTGCGCCGCCTCCCAGCCGTTGGGAAGCTCGCGGGAGGCCGTGTCTGCAGCGTGCTCAGGACACGGTCACTGCTCTGTGCGGGTGCTCAGAGTCGCTGTGCTGAGCTGTCTCCCGATAGCGTCCCGTGTGTGTCGCCGTGGACTCTGTCCCCGCTGTTTCCCCGGGCTGGGGTGTCTCGTGTCCCTTCCAGGCAGCATCTTTTATTTAGCCTAGTGCCTGAGAGCATTGCCTTCTGAGTCAGACTGACCTGAGTTCGAATTTAGACTCTAAAATTCGGGCAAGTTACTTACCGTCTCAAAGTACACGTTTTTTCCATGTGAAAATTGTGGATGAGCACAGAATGCACTCCCTGTGTTGAGAGGATGGACTAGGATATGTGTGAAGGGCCTAGTGGGGTCCCTCGCACAGTTAGGGCTCGGTGAATGCCAGTTGCTGTTCCTGAGCTCAGCTGCCTTTTCCAGACCTTCCTTGACTGCCCCCAAAACCTCACTCCTTCCTTCTCTAATTCCCACTCACCTGGCTTCTCACATTTACCCCCTGTTTTATTTCTCCTTGGGGGTACATTTCTTTTATTGCTGATAGACTTCATGAAACTGTGATTTATAATATGAAATATATATATATTTGGTCTTTGGCACTGGTTTCTGGCACAGAGCTCCTAAAACCCTTGTAATTTCCTTAGTGATAAGAGTGATAAAGGTGGGGCGCCTGGGTGGCTCAGTCGTTAAGTGTCTGCCTTCGGCTCAGGTCATGATCCCAGGGTCCTGGGATCAAGTCCCGCATCGGGGTCCTTGCTTGTCGGCGGGGGGCTGCTTCTCCCTCTGCCGCTCCCCTTGCTTGTGCTCTCTCTCTCTCTCTCTCTCTGTCTGACAAATAAATATATTCTTTAAAAAAAATTAAAAGAGTGATAAAGGTGTCTTGATATTCATTAAAATGTCTTTCAACTCCACCCGAGTTTATGGCAATGAGATAATGTTTGGAAGGCACCGAAGGGTGGGGGCTAGTTACTGGGGGGACCAGTCATGTCGCTGGAGGGTCAGAACTTGCAGTTCGGGGGGGGCCAGTGGCCAGTGATTTAATCAGTTGCACCTCTGTCTTGAGGATGCCATAAAAACCCAAGAGGATGGGGTTCGGAGAGCTTCTGGGTTGGTGGACACATGGAGATTTGGGAGACTAAAGCTCCGCCCCCTTCCCACACCTGGCCCTCTGCACCTCTTCCATCGGGCTGTTCCTGAGTTACAGCCTTTTATAGTAAACCAGTGATCCAGCAAGGGTAGTGTTTCTCAGAGCTCTGTGAGCTGCTCACAGACCCCAGGAGCGGCCGTGTAGCTGGAGGGTCCGAGGCCCAGGTGACAGCTGGGACTTGTGATGGCCTCTGAACGGGGCACAGTCTTGGGGACTGAATCCTTCACCTGTGGAGTCTGATGCTGTCTCCAGGCAGCGTCAGAATCGGTTTCATTGTAGGACATCTGGCTGGTGTCGGGGAGGTGCTTGGTGGAAAGAACACTCGCTGGAGACTGGGATTCTGGAAGATTCTGGAAGCGCAGACCTTCTCCTGGGTCCCCGTACTCCTGGTGCGTGGTGTGGTGCTCATCGTAGATTTTGAGTAGAAGTTCACTGAGGTAGCGGCCAACGCCGTGATTATCGTGAATTCAGACAACGCTTACGCAGAGTGATGGAAGATCAGTATTTTATATCCCTTCGAGGAAAGCCGGATTTTAAAAATAATTAGAAGCCTGTGCCTAGGGGCACTTAAAAAAGTAGGTCAGAAGTAGTTGTTTTAGGGGCGCCTGGTGGCTCGGTCAGTTGTGTGTCTGCTTTCGGCTCAGGTCATGGTCCCGGGGTCCTGGGATCGAGTCCCACGTCGGGCTCCCTGCTCAGCAGAGAGCCTGCTTCTCTCTCCTCCCCGCTCATGCTCTCTCTCAAAGAAAGAAAAATCTTTATATATAAAAAAGAAAGTGTTGTTTTATAAGATGCTGTGACATTTTTATTTGGTGCTTGTGAGTAAAGGGTTGACATCAGTCCCGAGCGGGAATGACCTTGGACGTGATCTTGTCCCAGCACTGGTTTGGGGACGCTGCAGGGTTCAGGTCGAGGTGGAGTATTATACCTACCTGTCTGCTGCGGTTACCATACCTGGGCTGGTTGCTGGGAGTCCAAGTGCAGGCTTTGGGTCTGTGGGTCTGAGTGCGTGTGAAAGACTGGTGGGACCTGGCAGGTGTGGGGGGTCTGCAGGCAGCCCGGCTCTCGATGCCTCCGTGTGCGCGGAGGGGGCCGCTCTGTGTCCTGGGATGCCGTGTACACGTGGTAATACCAGGCTGAGAGTGGCTTGCGTCTCCTGGGTCAGAGCACCGAGCCGAATCCCGTCTGCAGGTGGTACTCGGCCGGGCCCTGGGGGGACTCTCAGGCCGCCGCCCCCACAGACAACTGTCACAGTGTGCTTGGGAATTCTTTGTTGAATTTTCTGAAGCCAAGAAATAAGTAGTTCTAACATCTTACGTGGTTGGATGCTTCATGATGATTTATAGCAACAGCTCATGCTCTTACTGGAAGTGATGTTTCTAGACCTTGAACGTGTCTCTTTTGCTTCACAAAAATCCCCTTCACTAATTTTAGGTGAACTTTCAAAATAGATCGTCACGCCTAAAAATAAAGCACCTGTAACTTTGGAGTGCATCACACGGGGCCGTGCGGGAGTTTCGGGGGACCTCTGTCTGCACAGTGGAGAGCTGTCCCCAGACGTAGGCGTGGGAAGCGGGGCAGGCCCTGCGGTCCTCACCGCATCTGCCTGGTCGTCACATGGGAGGTGGAGTGACTGCTCGAGGACTCGCGGGTGGTTAGTGATGCTGGTACCCCTGTTCTGCTGCTTCCCCCCCGCTGCCCGTGGGAGTGCCATCGCCCTTCCCAGCACCTCCTTCGGGAAGATCGCTGTCCGCCTGGGCTGTGTTTCTCCATCCCTGCCTTCTGCATGAGCGTGATTCCCGGAGCAGGTACCCTGGGTGATCGTGCTCACGGGAACATGGTCCTAGTTTCCCAGGGAAGAGCATGTGCTAAGTCACCATATCTGAAAGCACACTGGTCTTGAAGTCAAGACACTTTTCCCCCAGGCACTTTAGATTCCAGGAAATGCACAGGAAGAACAGCAGGAGCCTTCATTTGAATGGTGAGCACCCTGGCGCAGGCTTCCTGGCGCGTTCCAGCATGCGGGAGCTACTTTAGAGTGCATGCATGCTCATTTCACAGGGTGGTGATTTACTTTTTGTTAACTCCCAGCCCATTAAGATTAAAAGGTACTTCCTTAGAGGTGATGGCCTGTTAGGCTTGGCAAGATGGGCGAACCTGCTCCGCGCTCTGTTCCAGCATAACGATTCATCGAGGGTCCTGTTGCACACGGAAGCATCCTTCAGGGCTGAGCCGGGTGACTTAAAACTCCCCACATATAAGACTTCAAGTGTTTAAACTTTTTCTTGTTCAGTTTTTATTTTATTACCTTTAATTGAGACGTTAAAATGTCTGTTAGGCTTATGTATGTTTCTGTCTATGTTCAATTCAGAGAAGAGGCAGAATTATTAGGAGGAGTTTGAATTAGAAAAAAGTAAATTGTGATCCTTAAAGGTAAGACCTGTGTGGGAACAAGCCCCACCATGGGTTCCCGTGGCCACAGAGACGGCGCCTCGTCTTGCCCACTGCTCTCTTCCTCAGCAGGTGGTCCCTCATTCTCTGTCTGTCCTTCCGTCTCCCTGGGGCCCTCCCCCAAGGATTAATGAACAGTCCTGGGCAGACCCAGGGACCCTGGAGCCCCCGACTGCATGTCACCTCCCTCTTGTTCATCTGTTGTGCAGGCCAGAGCTAGGAGTGTCTGTCTGAATGCCTTCAGCAGTGAAAACACCCCTTTAAAATTCTTCATTGTAGCATTTTGAAAGGTCACAAGACTGGGATGTTCCTTTATGACACATCATGACATGTTCTTTCTAGAAGAGTGGGTTAGAGAATTTTCCCCATTGACATGTGAGAGGGCAAGAGGTGACCTCAGGGACGCAGCGCCAGTAAATGAAATGAAAGCTCACCTTTGCCGGTAGGGACTGGTTAGTATTGGGGTGAGTTTTCCACTCCAGGGTGTGGAGGGATCTGCTGGCTGGCCGTCCTGCAGATACTTGTCTTCCTCGCCTCACAGCGCTGCCTGAGGGACCCGAGAACTCATCTGGCTTGTGGTCCTCCTGTGCCTGGACCAGAAGTCCAGCCTCTGTAGCAAGATTGAGGAGAGAGGAGAGAGGTGTGAGTGTGTTTCCTCTTTTCGAGAAGGTCTCTGTGCCTTAAGCCTGAAATGCCCCTCGTCTTTGTCAGCCCTTTGGGATCTTAATTATCCCTTTTCAAAGCTCAGCTTAAATGCTGCCTCCTCCCAAATACTGCGACTTGGCTGCTATAAACCTCTATTCTCTCTCCCCCATTTGTGCTTTTAATATCAGATAAATGGCCTCTGTATGCACTTACTGTAAATACAGCGTACGTATTGCTTTGAAAATCCTATGCCGTAAACCTGTCCATCACCCCGAAAGTTTCCTCCCGCTGTCTTGATGATGATGGTGATGATGATGCTAAGAACACTGAGGATCGGCTTCACTGTCCTGGCGAGCATCCCTGCGAACACACTGCGTTCTCAGCTGCAGGCGCGATGTCGCAAGGCCCGCCTCCGCTTCGTTAGCCCCTTGCTCACCTGATTCTGCCCCTGCTTGTTTCCTCCCGCTCCCAATTCATTCACTTCTATTTTTTATCTTTCTTGATTATTACATCCCTGCGCTCCTGTCCTTTTTTTCTGACCCTTATTCATTTACTTTCATTCTTTCCTGTTTGTTAATAAAAACATTTAAGTTTTCTAATTTTTTCCTCTGAGCATAGCTTTAATGACATTCCGCAGATTTTGACATATAATGTACTTGGTCCTGTTATCTTCTGTTTTATGACCATAGGATTGGATGCTTCATTGGCTCAGGAGACAGCTAACATCGTTTTAAAAATTTCTAAAGTGTTTTACCACTTTTGAATTTCACTGCTCTGGAGTAAGGGAATATTGACACATATGATTTATCATTTTTGGATTGATTACACATTTTGCTTACTGCACTTGAGTTAGGAACTGCATTCAACTCTAAGAAACAGAAATCCTGCGGAATGGGCTTACACAAGGAAAGGAGTTATTTTTATTTTCATGCCACGAGGACTTCAGTGGCCAGTGGTTGTTGGCATGCAGTGTCTGCGGTCTTCCTGGCCTTTTGTGGTTGCAGAACGGCTGCGCAGATCCAGCCATCACATCTGTATCAGGCTCGAAGAAACAAGGCGAGGGGCACTGGTTGAGTGTCCCTGCTTTAAGGAGCGTCTCTGGAAACCCTTACATCTCATTGGCTTGAACTGTGATGACCCCTGTCCATAGGAGGGTTAGGAATATAGTTTAAACAATTGTTTTTTTTTAACAAGTCACAGTTCTGTTAATAAGGGAATGCCGGCAAGGTGGGTGCTGGGGCAATAGCATTTGCTGCTGGTGAGTGTTGTGCAGACTTGCAAAAGTCTGTCGTCTGTGTGTGGGGACGGGGCGAGGTCTGAGTGGTGTGCGCGGACACAGACCCCCACGCTTGTGACGTGGTTTAAACTGCGTTTCTGTGTTGAGGTTGACATCTGAGAGGGTGTTCTGTCCCGAGGCACTGAAGGATTTCATTTCTCTCATTGGTTAACACACTCTATGTGTCTCAGCACCATGTTTCTTAGCACGGAAGACTTCTTTTCTGTTATGTTTAATTGCAGGTTTTTTAAATGGATAGAAACCAACCCTCCTCTTCCATGAAAAGCCCGATGTCTTGAATTTTTCCTTGTTATCTGTTTTGTTCCTCCATGTGTTGGAGTCTGTAATCCTTGGCGCCTCGTCTGGGGACCGACTGCACCTCTTGTGAACAGCATGCGGCTGGGTTTCTGCTTTGCCCTCACCTGGGAGTCTTCTCTTGCCAGGGGAGCTCAGCCTGCCCTGTGTTTCGTGGTAACTGGTGCGTGTGGCCTTCCTTCTGGTTACTTCCGCCATCGTGGATTCTGTTTGGGGAAAAAAATGCCTCTTGCCATTTCTGTTCCTGTGTGTCCTTCCCCTTCTAGGACCTGTAATTCCCCATTCCCGTCTGCTGGTCACTGCGAAATGCCTCTGGAACCTGGAATTCTCCCTGACATTACCAATAGGACGTCTGTTGACTTCACCACCTGTAAAAGATAAAGCGAATGTGCTTATTCTTCCTAGTTTTTATCAACACAAACTGGGATTTTAAAACCATTAATTATTCAAAGATGTGTATCTATTCCTTAAGGCATTGTGTTTTTGACGTTTGATTATTTTCTTACTACATTAATAAAGGACGGTCACTTTAAACTCAACTCTAAATTTCCCTGGGTCCATGGTTCACTGCTTCTGCATCTAAACCATGCCTTCCTCATTCTTGGTTTCTGTATTTTTATTAATTTCTCGGTCAAATGGAGTATTCCTTTAAGTGATTTTTTTCAGTGCGGTATTTTCAGAATGCTTTTATCTTTGAGGCTTTCTGGACACGTCGGTGGATTCTTGCATGGGGATAGAATTCGTGGGTCACCCTGGTTTTCCCACTCATAATTCTAGACCAGGGATCGGCAAACATTCTCTGTCAGGGGCCGTGTAGTAGATAACGAGAGGATTTGCGGGAGTCTTGCGGTGTGGGGTTCGTGGGCTCCTGAGTGAGGTCTGGGTCCCCCGATTAGGCAGGAAGGGCAGGGTTGGTGTGTGGGGGGTTCCCATGGTCAAGCAGCAGCCTCTCCACACTCAGCCCGAGGCCGGCTGTGACTCCACGGGTGGTCTCAGGCTGACTCCACAGTGGAGACTGGCAGCCCCGTTTCGTGAAGGATCGCACACGTCCTGCATCTGGGGTTGAACTTCATCCTGTAGGTGCTGGGGATTTCCCAAAATACTTCAATCAGGGCAGTGATGCGGACAGTCTGTGTTTTGGAAAGATTATCCTGCCAGCCATAGGAGGGGGCGGGCTGGGAAGACAAAGACCAAGGAGATGGGGAGCGGGGCGTCAGCTGGGAATCTGCTGGAATAGAAAGGATAGTGGCCGTTACTGGAAGGACGGAGAGGACACACGGGTTCTGACACACGCAGCGTGTGGTCTTGGTGACTGACCACGTCAGGCCACGGGGGCACAGCCCAGCTTTGGGATATGGTGGTGTTCACCGAGCCCAGAGGTGCGGGAGGTGGGTGGGGAGCAGGTGCTGAACCCGGTTGAGATGGCTCTGGGCCTCCAGGGGATGCTGTAGGTAGCTAGTGGGATGCACAGATCCGGAGGTCAGGAAATAGGAGTGACTGATTCGGGAGTCACTGGAGTATGACTCCGCACTGCTGGGGTGAACCCCCAGTTTATAAACGGGAGCCGACGGGTAGAAGATGATGCTGTGACCAACACGGGCCAGACTAATGGTCATTTCTCTTTCTAGATGAGGTTTTTCTTAGGTTCCCTGTCTTCGAAATTATTTCTTAGTATAGTTTGTAGAAGTAGAGAGAAAACGTAAGTATAAATTTGGAAAGGGTTAGCTAAAAGGAGAAAACAATCTCTAAGTCCATGGAAATGGGTATTAGCAACGTGCTAGACCTAAGAGACTATAGATAAAGAGACTATAGACTTCGTACGTCTGCTTTTGCTGTGGAAAAGGCAGGATCAAAGGGATGCTGTGTCTTTCGGCAAGACCCTCTTTTATCAGGGCCAATACGATCAGTGGAAGCAGGAAATTAGAAATACGAGAACAGCCCTGCCACTCACCCGGCACTCGGCCGTCTCTCCCTCCAAGAGTAATCATGAACTTCATGTTTGCGGCTACATGCTCAGCTAGTGCTAAACCCCACGGAAGCGCCGCCCCTGAGCAGGACTGGCCTCTCTCAGGTACCCTTTGTGGGCTTGACAGGTAAAATGAAAGATGCTGGAGACAGGGATGATTTTATGTACATTGTTTGTTTGTTGGTGGGAAGGAGGCCTATCCACGTGCAAGCCTCCAGATCCTGACACTAAGGATACAGGCTGTGAGTGAAAGAACTGGAAGGCACGGGGACGGCCACGCTGCCGGCGTCTGGGCCCGTCCGCATTTCCGTGGGTACCAAGCAGACGGAAAGGGACAACCCCAAGTGGTAGAGCAACAGTTCCTTCTTCATGGAAGTAATTACGCGCTCAGGGTCAGTGATGTCGGTGGTCGAGTGAGGAAAACGGTGAGAAGTCCAAGTCTGCCCTCCGTCTGTTCCCCAGACGTGAGCGCGGTGAACATACCTGGGTACCCTTCTCCATCTGTCTCCGTGCGTTCTTTTTAAAAATTTTATGCGGATGGGATGACACTCTATATTCTGTGTTGTGTTCCGCTTTTTCACTTGTTAATAAACCTTAAAATTACTTTCACATCTGCACGTGGTGAGCGACCTTAGTGTTTTAAGTGGTCGCGTAGCATTGATGTGCTCTAACTTTTTTTAACCGGCCCTCTGTTAATGGACATTTAGATTGCTTCCGTTTTTTAAATTACAAACAACGGCATAAAGAACACCCTGCTCTGTTTGAGCGTGCTCACACGAATCACTCCATCGGGGGGGGCTCCTGGCAGTGGAATGGTGCCGGATTCTATGTTTTTAGAGATGTTTCCATATTGCTTTCGGTGAAAGGCCGTGCGGCTTTGCATGCCCACCACCGACAGGGAAGAGCACTGTTTCCTGGGATGGGTGGACGGATGAAGGCCAGAGTGAACGTGCACACGTTCGTGACCCCTGGCTGTGTGCCAGTCACAGGCGATGCCCTGGAAGGGAAGCCGCACAAGGGGCAGTGGGCCGTGGCCACCGGAGCTCAGACTGGAGGATGGAGCCAGCCGTGTGGAGGGGAAGGTGAGCAGTGGGTAAGGCAGGAGCGTTGGCCTCCAAGGGAGCTGGGTCTAGTCGCTGGGTCTGTCGCCCACTGGCCGAGGGGGCGCGGGGAGACCTCGTCATGCGCGAGTCTCGGCCCCTCACTTGAAGACGCAGATAATGATGCCTGCCTCGAAGACTGAATGCGAACGTTTGGGTAAGGCTTCCACCCTGCTCGTGACGGAGGAAGCGCGGTCAGTGGTGGTGATGCCGCATGTGAGGCGGTGGCCTCAGGCCTGGCCACACTGACCACCACGGGGTGTGCCCAGAGCACCCGGGCGCCCAGGGTGGAGGGCGGTCCTGTGCGACATGTTTGGGAAGAGCCCGGTCTTCAGGGCTGAGTCGGGTTCTCCGTAAGCTGCGGTCGGGAGGAAATACAGCAGTAAGTTTCCCAAGACATGTGCTCAGCAGCGGGAAGCCCGCTCGTACGTTGAAGAAGTTGGTTACCAGTCTCAGAAGAAACCCACTTGGGGCATCTTACAACCCATGCTGCTTGGGCTGTCAGCCTTAGAAGTAACTTGGTGTTGACTCATCGGCGTTTCTGGTTTTGTTTTGAAGAATTGATCAAGAGGAATTCCCCAGTCTTGTTTTAATCTCCTTCTTCCTCTAAAGGGTTGCAGTGGTTAACGTGTTCATTATGGCAAATGTCTAACTATGTGGTAAGCTTTATGTTTTTTTAACCTAATTTGTTTTTCATAAAGTGCGGTTCTTTGCCCCATTTATTTTGGGGAGTAAATATATTTTTTGTGTTCATCATTTTCTTTCCAGTTGTTGGTCGCAGTTCTTTGTTAAATTTAGCCATTAGTCGGCCATGTATATGTTGAAAATATTTTTATCATTTTCTTCTTTGTGTTTCTGTTTTGAGGGGTATAGATGTATTAAAATCTTATTAGCGAAATCAGTTTTTTACTTTACGATTTCTGCCTTTGGCTTCATTTTTAGGAAGTCTTTCTTCTTGAGAATATATACATTTTTATTTTATCCTAGTACTTTATTTTTCTCATGTTAAAATATTCTTTTTGAATGTGTATTGCTGTATAAGGCAAGGAACCTAACTTTTTACTAAAAAAAAAAAAAACAGCCAGGTGTCCCAACAGCGCTTCATAAATAATCTGCCCTCTCCCCACTACTTTGAAATGCCACCTTGTTCAGGGACTGCATTCTTGCCTATTTTTGGGTCTGTTCCTGGATGTGTTGGTCTTCTCCACGGGTCTCTCCGTGTCCCGTGCTGACGTGTGTCCCCTCAGTGTGCCGTGAGGCCTGCTAGAGGGAGTCCGGCCCCCACAATTCTTCGTTTAAAAAATTGAGCTGACTATTCCGAACCATTCATTTTTGAGATTAACTTTAAAATTATCCTGTCAGTCTCTTCCCCACATCCTCTAGAGATCTTGGTTGGAATTGTGTTAACGTTTTAGGTTAGTTTGTGGGAAATAACATTTCTTTACAATATTCAGGCGTCTCCAGGAGTACGGCCTCCCCGCTTGTCCCAGGCCCTTCCCGTGTTACTGTGCAGATGTGTTTGCTTTGAGTCCTATCCCTAGTCAATTAGTATTTGTTGTTACTGTGAATAGAGTATTTTTTTTCTGCTGTATTGTCAAGTTCTTCTCCTTGTGCAGGAAAGCAGAGGAACACAGGCTCAGATTGTCCAGATGGGACTAGAAGTCTTGGAAGTAACATTAAAGTTATTTTCTTCAATGTGTTTTAAGTTCTAGAAAATTGAATATTAGAAAACTTAATTTATTTCGTTTTTTTTTAAGATTTTACTTGTTTGCCAGAGAGAGAGCACGAGCAGGGGGCAGAGGGAGAAGCAGACTCCCCGCTGAGCAGAGAGCCCGACGTGGGACTCGATCCCAGGACCCTGGGGCCACCCAGGCGCCCTGAAGACTTAGTGTCACGAGGAACTTGCACTGCTGATGCCATGTTTTCAAAGTGAGGTGTCCGAGGCTGGGTTTTTAAGGGCTGCTGGACTTGTGGGGCGCTGAGGGTTCCCCAGTTTCCCACAGGTGTCAGTGTGGGTCCGAGGTGGCCGTTTTATCTGCCATACCCCGCATTTCACGTCCTTATTCACTTAACTAGCACACCAGGGGCTGCTGAGCAGGAGGGGATTTTGGAGATCCTCTGAGTCAGTCCTTCCGTCTTGCAGCCGAGGGCACAGGCCTAGACGGGAAACGACCTGTCCAAGGTCACACAGGCACATGGGGTGACGCCGAAACCCAGATGTTCCTGTCCCCAAATGACGGTAAAAGTCAGTCACCAAGGTCACAGAGAAGAGATAAGGTGTAGGCCCAACATAGAAGTTATATTTTGGAGGAATGGAAGCATGCTGTTCAGTTTGTTTGGGTAGGTTTATATTTAGAGATTCTTAATGAATATGATGTTAGGTTCTTGGGTTATAATAATTGGGTGAAAACAGCTAACTTTTATTGCCTGGATGTAGCATTACTGGATGTGAAGGTGACCCTCGATCTAGTGTGCCTTCTTCAGCCCGACTGTGGATTAAACACCAACACTTGCTCGTGGCCAATAACTCCACGCCCCTCCCTGCACAGCCTGACTTGGGAGGTTCGGGAGAAATCCTAGAAACTGTTCAGTTCCACATACCATCAAGGAGTCTGTAATGTTTTCCAGGAAAGACCCCGAGCAAGAGAAAAATGTTCTTTTTTGTTATACATTACGAGAAATCAGGGCAATGAAGTGAGAGGTGCACTTACGGGCCGTGTTAAGACAAAGTATGCAGCATAGAGTTTTAGAGAAATCCCCTTCCTTTAATCTGCTGACCTCACCTTATCCAGGGCTGCTCGTGGGAAGCATGGGGGGCATTTAATCTGTAGGGCAGAGGCAAGACTCCGGCAGGGCGCGCGTGATGAGCACCTGTTTCCCGGACACCAGCACTCCCTGGGTTTGGGGGAGGCGCGAGCCCCACGCGTTGGTGTGAAGGTGAAGGAGGTCATCGTGGGTTGAGTCTTAAAGGAAAGTTAGGAATCACCGGGGTTCCAGACACTTGGCAAAGGCGGGACACGCGTGGGGCAGGCTGGAAAGCACGTGTCTGGGCGAGCAGTGACTAGGTTACAGTCACCCCCCCTTAGCTGAGGGGGGGTGTTCACATCCCCCAGCGACGCCTGAAACCACAGAGAGCACTGAACCCCAAATACACAATGTTTTTTCCTGTACGTACATACTTACGGTGAAGTTCAGTGAATAAACCAGGCCCAGTAAGAGGTGAACGACAGGCGCTCATAATGAAATAGCACAGTTATAGCAATAGACCGTAATGAGAGTTGCGTGAACGTGGTCTCTCTCGCTCTCGAAACGCCTGTTCCGCGCTGAGCCCGCTGGTGATGTGAGCTCACCCAAAGCTACGTGAGGAGATGAGTGAGGCGGGGGCGCGGGCACCGTGAGCTCCGGGTTATGAGTGACCCGCCGTCCGGCGCTGCGTCCCAGGGAGAATCACCTGCTCGAGCCCGCAGTCGACCGCGGACGGGAGGCACAGCCAAGGGGGGGTTACTCTGTTACGTTGAGAGCTTGAGGTCAGTCGAAGGACGGCGAGATCGAGAGCAGACGGCGGCCGGTCTGGTTTGAGGTTCTTTGAGTTGGAGGTCGCAGCCTGAGATGTTTTCTCTGAACGCTTTTGAAACTTTTTATTTTGAAATAATAAATGACAAAAATAGCAGAGAGGGGTCCTGGGTTCTCTTCCCCCGGCCGCCCTGCGGTGGCATCTCTCAGGGCTGCCGCGGGACGCGGGGCCCCTGCGGCCTGACTCCGTGTCACCGCGTGCACGCCGTGATGTGCAGGGTGCGCACGCGTCTCTGTGTGTTTGTCACATGGGCACATTTGTGCAGCGTGTGCCGTGTAGTCTTACTTCAGCAAAATGTACGGGACCAGAAAGCTTGCCGGACAGGGAAGTGCTCATTCAACATCTGGGTAAAGGGAATGGCGGAAGCCGGGAGCAGCTTTCATTTTGCTAGGAAGCTCGGACGGCGTGGGGGTGATGCGGCGCTGTCGCTCTTCAGGATGAGGACTTTGCAGGCTCCTAAAACGTGCGAGCAATCCAGGCAGCCCCGGAAACACCCGTATGTTTGCCTGTCGAGGCGACCGTTCTTCACTGCTCTCGGCAGCCAGGCTCCTCCACCTGGAGCCCGGCCCCGCAGACCCCGTGCCTGGGACGGCCTGCCTGCCCGACCCGCCTGAACTTACCTGAGCACCCAAGCTCTTACGGGTCTGTTTCTGATCGTGGCACAAACGTGTGCAGCTTACCATCCTCACCACCTCTGCGAGTGTAGCTCGGGAACATTACACGCATGCACGGCCTCGGCGCTTTCCCTCTTGCCGGTCAGAGCCTGTGGCCCAGCTCCGTGGCCCCGGGCCCGGGCAGACGCCCTTCTGCTCCCCGTCTCTGTGAATTCAGCTACGTCAGACACATCGTGTGTGTGGAATCATACAGCGTTTGCTTTTTTGTCGCTGGCTTACTTTATTTCTTGTTTGTATCACACGGATGTACGAGGAATTGTCCTTAAGATCCTCCGAACCGCTAAGCTTTGCTTGTAAACCGAGCAGGGAAACCGAAGCGCTGCATCCACTCGTGTTACACCGGGTGAGGACCCGCGGACAAGCAGAGTCGTGCGAGCAATCTGAAAATCGCAGGACGTTCTGTAACGTCTTCCCAGGTTTAGGGGCCTCCTGAAGGCCCACGTGGTTACCAGCCGCAGGGACAGTGTCCCAGGCTCGGAGCCAGAATGAATGGGACCTTAGAGCCGTTGGGGTGAGGCTGCGGGTCTGCTGTTGCTGTTTCTCCTTTGTAACCCGTGGGCGATGTTCTAAAGCTGGGCATGGCAAACGGATTCTGTAGGGGGCCAGGTACTCAATATTTGGGGCTCCGTGCAACGTCTGCTGCCCGCTGTAATGATTCGGCTCTGCTGTTTCAGTGTGGATGCAGAGCGTGGCTGTGCTTCATTGAAACTGGATTTCCAGGGGCGCCCGGGTGGCTCAGTCGTTGAACGTCTGCCTTCGGCTCAGGTCAGGATCCCGGGGTCCTGGGATCGAGCCGCGCGTCGGGCTCCCTGCTCTGCAGGAAGCCTGCTTCTCCCTCTCAGTCTTTCGCTCCCTCTCTCTCTGTCTCTCTCAAATAAATAAATAAAATCTTAAAAAAAAAAAAAGAGGAAACCTGGTTTACAAAAGCAGGCGAGGGGCCAGATTTGACCCCCGCTGTAGTTGCCAAGCCCTGTACTCAGGTGGGGGGACCCTCACTGCTACCTCTTTGGTCCTCAGCACCTCGCTTGCTGTCGTTCACACGGGAGACAGTTCTGGTTGTTGTTCAGGCAGATGGTCATGATGATTTAAGAAATGCAAATCAAATGATCATTTCCTGCTGACTTTTAATCGTTTATTAAGTTTGGGGCTTATTTTCTGTACACCATGCTAGTTAGCTTTACGATACAGCAGAAGGTACGCCTAAGAAAAGAGCAAACATGTTTAAAGCACATCTTCGAAGGGATATGCAAAATATTTCTGAGGGTTCATAAAAGTATTTCTTTTTCTAAAGGAAAATAGCTTTGTTCTGATGATAAACATAAGATTTACTCAAGCAGTGCAGAGGAATGTAAAGAAATAATAAATACGCCCAGTTCCCTAAACGGGGTAAGCACGATCATAGCCACGTGTAAATTGTTTGCCGGATCCCTTTGTGTGCCCCCCCCCAATCTGTCTCTGTCACCTGCTTGGTGCCGGGGAGGGTCCCCTGCATGGACCACATCACAGGCGCCCTAGCCCTGGCTTCTAGGTCTCCAGCCAGCGGGGGGCACCAACGGAGATCAGAGCGTGCGGGAGTGTGAGGTGGGGCGTTCACTCCCTCCTGCCCCCGCCCTCGGGGCATTCTCTGCCCAGAGCCCCACTTCCGGCCAGCGGCCCCTCCTGCGGCAGCTCTCGGCGCCTAGAGCCTTGCCCTCCCCACTGCCACCCCTTGACCTTCAGGCCCGGAGGTGGCCAAGGCTCCCTGTGGGGGGACATGCTCGCCGTCTGCCGCTTCTCTCGTCCCGCCTGCCCTCTGACCACTCCCCGGCTCACCGCTCCCCCAGTTTGAATGTGCCGTCTGTCCCTCGCCGTGGCCCCGACCTGACCGAGACAGAGTCGTGTCCCCTTGACTGACCCCCCACCCCAACCAGGGCCGGTAAGGAGCACGGCCCTCGTCTGCTTTATCTTTCCAGGCAAGAAACAAAGAGCTGGCGCACGTCGTGAGCGCTGGGAAATCGGAGTCCACATTCCATCTCTCCCGCATTTGCCGGCCGTGTAGCTTCCGGCAGATACGTGCTCTCTTTGAGCCCTGGTTTTCCTGTTTGAAGAACAGGGACAGTAATACCTGCCCTCGCGGGGCTGTTGGGGAGACCCCGCAAGGCCGTGCCTGTCAGGTGCTCTGGCACGACGTCTGGCACGTAGGTGGTTTTTAATTTAATTTAATTTTATTATGTTAGTCACCATGCAGTACATCATTAGTTTTTGATGTAGTTTTTAAAAGGGGTTTAGGTCAAAGAGCGACTCCATTTTCCTTGACGGGGAAGCAGATTCTCCTCCAGGGGCCTTGGCGAAGGGAGAGGCCCCGTGGAACGGGGAAAATGCTTTCCGTGAGGCTGGCCCGTGGGCGTCTGGCCCGCACGTTTCTTGCGGTGACAGCAGGTGGCAGTAGAGAGTCAGACCTACCCTCGCAGGCGGCGTGGGCCGAGGAGACCCCCGCCCGGCGTTCGTTGTTACAAGTGTTTGCGTTGCTTGAAAAGAAATGACTTTCAGGGTCACTGTAAGGAGAACGGGTGTTACTCATGCCCAGAGTTTACTAAGGGCGGTGTTCATTGAGCGCATCACTAGAGTCTTCACGGGCCACCATCTGTTTGTTTATTTGGTCGCGCCTAAACTAGGTGCCAGCATTGTTTCCATCTGAGCGAGAAGACGCCGAGTTTTAGGAGGAGGTAGGTAATTTGATGACTCTTTTTCTTAGCTAGTAACTGGTAGTTGGGGGGTTCACACGCAGGCATTCTCTCTGGAAGCACGTCCTTGTCCTGGAAATGCTAGAAGGTCGATACTTCAACAGGGTTTTAAAAAAATTTGGGGGGCGCCTGGGTGGCTCAGTCGGCTAAGGGTCCGACTCTTGATTTCAGCTCAGGTTGTGATATCGGGGTCCTGGTTTCGAGCCCTACGTCGGGCTCTGCGCTCAGCGGGGAGACTGCTTGAGGACTCTCTCCTCTCCTTCTGTCCCTCCCGCTCATGCTCTCTGTCTCTCTCTCAAATAAATAAATAAATCTTTTTAAAAATTTGGGTTATCTGTGAACGTGGTAAAAAATCCAAACAGTGCAAAAGGTTGGAGTGAAGGTATGGAGCGTCCTCCTCATCCAAGTCCTACTGTTCCCAAGTTTGTTTCTCCAGAGCCGGTCACTGTTGCCAGTTTTCTGTGGATCCTTCCTGAGCTGTCCTGACAGGGGGTTACCCATATTCTAGGAAAAAAGGCTGATCGGTCTCCACAGTTCACCTTAGCTCAACTTCCATCCTGTTGTCCTCGAGGTTTTCTAGGCTCTCTGGGTTGGGTAGGAGGGGGGTGCTGTTGGTGAGACTCTCAACACCTAAATCACCAAATGCCACCCATTCTTCTTATGTCTTTGCTTTCAGCCCTTCTAGAAGAGTCTAAACTCCCGTCGTCCCCAACTTTCTTCATTTCAACACATAGTCCAGCGTTCTCGGGGTTGAATGAAAGCCTTGAACTCATAAAACACTTAGGTGTACCTCGAAGGCCTGCAGAGACTGTCTTACGTCCTGGAGACCTCGTTAGCTGATGAGCTGCCTGGGGACATGGAGGGATGGCTCCCGTGGCTGGTGTGGATGCCTGTCCCAGGACTGCAAGGCCAGTCCTGTATTTTGACACAAATGTTAGGCCCTGTGTTCAAAGAAAGGATTTTAGAGTAACAACACAAAAGTGATCAATCGCATGATGATTGTCTTTCAAAGATGATTTTCGGGGTGCTTGGCAGGGGCTCAGTCGGTTGAGCATCCAACTCTTGGTTTTGGCTCAGGTCATGATCTCAGGATTGTGGGATTGAGCCCCGCGTTGGGCTCCGTGCTCAGCAGGGAGTCTGTTTGGGGATTCTCTTTCTCTGCCCCTCCCCCCACTTGCACACTCTCTCTAAATCAATAAATATCATTTTTTAAAAAGATTTTATTTATTCGACAGAGAGAAAGAGAGAGAGCACAAGCAGGAGGACTGGCAGAGGGAGAGGGAGAGGGAGAAGCCAACTCCCCGCTGAGCAGGGAGCCCGATGCGGGGCTCGATCCCAGGACCCTGGGATCATGACCTGAGCTGAAGGCAGACGCTTAACTGACTGAGCCACCCAGGCGCCCTAATAAATAAATATCTTTAAAAAAAAAAAAGATGATTTTTACTACATTGTGTCTGATTCTACATGGAGATTCCCAAATGGCCAAAATACATTGTGACCCAACACAGCAGAATGAATGAAGGTGCATTTACAGTGTAATTAAAAAACAAGCAAAGAGCTGTCTGCCTTAGCTGGTTTATTTAGTGGCACACTCCTTCAGAGTAGTATGCAACTGCAGGGAAATAAATGTTTAAGAACCCTCGTGGTTATATACAGTCGGAAGTCGAGCATGTCTACTGTGATCACGTGACTGGGGGCCCCCTTGCAAGCTCTGTACGGCTGTACCAGGAAGGGGGATCCGGGGGGGGTCCTGCTTCCATCTGTTCTTTCAGAGCAACCCTGCTGAGCTCAAAGCATCTGGTATTGATTTCTGAGAATTCTGCTGCAAGAGCCGTCATGAATTATTGGTCCTGTATTTTATTTCAGGATTTCAGCTCCTTCGTGTTCCAGAGGCATGTTTATAATCAGTTGCGGGGCCTGAGGGGTGTGCACCCATGCAGCCATTGATTAAGTTGACATTTGGTATTAATAGCTTTGAGACTGTTTGCGTCCTAATATGCTTATCCATCTTAGATTTCAGGTCAAGGCAGGTGTCTCCTAGCTACTGAGTGCTGGCGCTGGGATGCAGACCCCACAGCCTGTCTAGAAGCCCGCACACTCAGCCCTACTGATGCTTCCTCCGTCCCTTTGCCTGGTCCCACGTGCATCTTTAGCAATAGGAGCTGGGCGTGTCGAATCATCAGCCACCTGGGCGGCAAGCCCTCCACTTTAGCTCTTCGGCGCTGACTGCCCTTAAGGAGGAATTTGATCTGTCTGAGCACGGAGCTCCGTTCTCCATCCGTGAACTGGGGCGAGTGAGCCCTGCCCTCCTGCCTGCCGGGCGGATGTACTGACCAGCTGACTCTCCCTGGCTTATAGCACAGCACCTGCCACGTTGTGTTAGCCCCTGTACCCTCTCTTCCCTTCTAGAAGCTGGGCTTTGGATACGAGTTAGGAGTTCCCTGGGATGCTCCGAACAGGTAACGACTTGGTTATAGTCAGAAGTCTCATTCTGTCTCTCACTCCTGTTCTTTCTTTCGTAGTAAATAGAACTGGACTCCGCCTCTCTCTGGGAAAAGGAGAAAACTGTCCCCAGAAGGCGAGGAAAGGGCTCCTCCTCCTCAATGGGCCATGGGCCTTCTCACTGTGTAGGATAAGAGCAGGCCACACCACATTTCCCGTGCAGGGGGGCTGCGTGGACGTTTCACTGAGTTTTGTTTGCGTCAGGACTGTCATGACCAGACAGGTAAATACAGAGATTAGAGGACCTTGCCGGCGTGGAGAACAGCATGGCAGGAGCCGAGACTCGCACACAGGACATCATGGGGCGGGCTGTGGGACGGTGGTCTCCTCCGTGTAAGGGGACTGCCTGAGATTCATGGCAGACAGTGCTGGAGCAGTGATGGGGATGAGGCTGCGGTGGGTCCTGCCCCCCACCCCCTTAGAGAATGTGGATGTTGTTTTTAAGAGACTGTGATTGACTCAAGGTTTTTGAGCAAGGGGCGTCAGGATGAAGGCTGAATTTGAGGGCTTGGACAGACAGGTCAAGGTGAGAGCCCAGGTGGAGGTGAGCTCAGACAGACAGGTGGAGGCGAGCGCCCAGGTGAACGCACGCTCGGATGGACAGGTGGAGGTGAGCGCCCAGGTGAACGTATGCTCAGATTGACAGAGGTGAGCACCCAGGCGGAAGTGAGCTCAGACAGACAGGTGGAGGTGAGCGCCCAGGCATATGCGTGCTCGGACAGACAGGTGGAGGTGAGCACCCAGGTGGAGGTGAGCTCAGACAGACAGGTGGAGGTGAGCGCCCAGGCAAACGCGTGCTCGGACAGACAGGTGGAGGTGAGCACCCAGGTGGAGGTGAGCTCAGACAGAAAGGTGGAGGTGAGTGCCCAGGTGAACGCATGCTCGGACAGACAGGTGGAGGTGAGTGCCCGGTGGAGGTGAGTGCCCAGGTGAATGTGTGCTGGGACAGACAGGTAGAGATGAGTGCCCAGGTGGAGGTGAGCTCAGACAGACAGGTGGAGGTGAGCGCCCAGGCATAGGCGTGCTCGGACAGACAGGTGGAGGTGAGCACCCAGGTGGAGGTGAGCTCAGACAGAAAGGTGGAGGTGAGCGCCCAGGTGGAGGTGAGTGCCCAGGTGAACGTGTGCTCGGACAGACAGGTGGAGGTGAGTGCCCGGTGGAGGTGAGTGCCCAGGTGAATGTGTGCTGGGACAGACAGGTAGAGATGAGTGCCCAGGTGGAGGTGAGCTCAGACAGACAGGTGGAGGTGAGCGCCCAGGCATAGGCGTGCTCGGACAGACAGGTGGAGGTGAGCACCCAGGTGGAGGTGAGCTCAGACAGAAAGGTGGAGGTGAGCGCCCAGGTGGAGGTGAGTGCCCAGGTGAACGTGTGCTCGGACAGACAGGTGGAGGTGAGTGCCCAGCTGGAGGTGAGCTCAGACTGGTGGAGGTGAGCGCCCAGGTGGAGGTGAGCTCAGGCAGACAGGTGGAGGTGAGCTCAGACAGGTGGAGGTGAGCGCCCAGGTGAACACACACTTGGATGGACAGGTGGAGGTGAGTGCCCAGCTGGTTGTGCGGTGGTACTTGGAGGGGGTCGCTGGGAGACGTGGCCCCAGCTCTGAGCTAGCAAGAAGAGGGGGAGGAAACAGCTCTTTGTGGCTGCCAGGCTGTGACACTCCTCATTTCCAGCCTTCTCTGCGGGATTAGGGCAAGGACAGGCCGCCAGCTGAGCAGCCCAGGACAGGAGCCTGAGGTCAGGGTGCCCCAAGAGGGTCTGCGGCCCAGCTGCTGATTCCACGGCCAGGGAGAAAGAGGATGTTGTGTGAAGGAGAACTGAATCCTCAGCACCTAGCACAGTGCTTTCGGTCCCGTGAATAGATAAGGGCACTTAGGAAACGCTCTACCTTCATTTTCTTTCAGGGCCTAGTTCCTGTTCTTTCAGCTTTAGTGGGTGAAGGTTCTGCGGCTCAGTGTCTGTCCTCATGTCCCCACTGAGGGCATCCTCGCCCCAGTGGCTTCCAGGTTGCCAGATTTCCTGTCCTTACCATACTCGTCCGTTCTGCCAATGTTCCGCTCCCTTCTTCCTGAGACTCTTTCCTTATCTTCTAGGCGAGGTCAGTGCCCTGCGGCCCACGGGCCACAGCTGGCCCGCCACCTGCCTCTGTGCATAAGACTTTATTGGCGCACGGCCACACTGTTTGCGGACGTATTGTCCGTGGCCCCTTTCGGACCACGTGGCAGTTAAGTCATCGTGACTCAGACCCTGTGGCCTGTAAAGCCTGGATTATTTATTCTCTGGCCTCGTGCAGGAAGCTTGCTCCCCACTGTTCTGTCACAGTGCCCTCCCCTGGTCTCCTTCCACACCCAGAGTGAGAGCCTGTTCTAAGGGGAGGCTGGGAAAGCTCTGGCCGGAGAACCACTCAGGACTGAAGAAGCCCCACCCCTCCCCTGGCTACCTGGCTCGAGAAAGAGAGTCTGACATTTCTTAATTAAAAAAGGAAAGCTCTTAGCGTCGGTGTCTCGTCCTGCGCAGCATGGCCTGGCCCTGGGCTGAGGCGTTTACAGGCAACCCCTGGTCTCAGGGCCGTGGCCGGCCCTTCTGCGGCAGGCACTGTTCCCAGCTGCCTCTCGGAGCGCAGGAGACCGAAGCAGGAGAGCCTGGCGGGGCCGGCGAGAAGTAGCCCGGGGCCTGAGCGCCTCGCCGCCGCGGTGGGTTGCCTCCAGGGGGCACTGGTGGGTCGGAGCCAGCCCTGAACGGAGGGCAGATGCGCTGCGAACGGCTGGATGAGGTTCCCGAAGCTTAGCCTTGCCGTCCTGGAGTGCAGAACCACGCTGGAAATCCAGCAGAGCCAGGGGAAGACACCCTACAGAGCACGACTCTGCAGAGCCGGGCCTGGCGGAGTGCGCGCTGGGCGGCGGGGTGCAGTCCGGGGCGGCGGGGGCTCCCTGTGCCGGGCGCGCTCGGTGAGGCGCACATGCTTGAACACAGTCAGGTGGCGTCCTCCTGCGTGTGTGCTCTATGTCACTGTCCTCTCACGGAGCCCGTGGTGAAAACGGCCGCGCCAGAGGCTCAGGGAGAATTTGTGCGCAGACCAGGCAGTTTTCTCCTGCTCTCCCTGCCGAGTTTTGACCTTGCAGGGCATTAGGGTGGCTCTGGGACCCTTAGCGGGGACGGCCCAAGGTGGGACCAGCGTGTTCAAGCGGAGCTTGGTAAGCCTGCGTGTGACCTTCAGGCCCCTGGGGAGGGAAAGCATCCAGGACCGAAGACACTTGGATTCATCAAGCAGACGCAGGCCAGAGGGGGCTTCTAAGGACCTGAGCCGGGAGCGCAGGTGACCGCATGGCAGAAGGAGCAGCGGTACCCATCCTGCTGGCTGGGGGCCCAGCAGCAACACCCCACACAGGATGTCGGCACCCCTGCCTGTGAAGGGCCCTCGTCACCCGAGAATCCCAGAGCCGTTCTCCTTCTTGCTTACTCACTGTAGAGCTCGCTTCGAGCGGCTGGGCAAGGTCACACTTCGGCCATCTTCCCATCCTGGGATGTTGCCTCCCCAGTGCAGACCCAGGGTGGGCCTCCGTGAGGGCCGTAGAGCAGGCGGGCGCGGTGACCCCGGGGGAGCGAGGCCACCTCTGCCGCGAGGGACTCGAGAAAGGTGTTTTCTTGTCTTGCTGTCTCCTTCCTTCTCTTCTAGTGGCCTGGAGGTGCGTGATCTGAAACTCTAGCTTCCCTTTCTCCTGTATTGACTGGTGGAAATCCCGATTTCCTCCTGGCTTTCCTTTTGGCATCTTTGCATTTAAAAAAAATGTAAATGACACAACATGAGATCCACTCCCTTAACAAAAATTTTTTTTTTTTTTTAAAGATTTTATTTATTTATTCATGAGAGACAGAGAGAGAGAGAGAGGCAGAGGGAGAAGCAGGCTCCCAAGGAGCAGGGAGCCCGATGTGGGACTCGATCCCAGGACACTGGGATCATGACCTGAGCCGAAGGCAGACGCCCAACCATCTGAGCCACCCAGGCGCCCCCTTAACAAAATTTTAAGAGTGCAGACCATGTTGGCCATGGGCACCGTCTTGGACGGCAGATGTCTGCCGTGTGTTCGCATCCTGCCGGGCTGAAGCCGGTACCCACGGCAGCCCCCCGTTTCTTCTCCTCCCTGCCTCCCACAACCACCGCAGTACGTTCTGCTCCTGTGAGTTCGGCTGCTTCAGATGCCTCCTGCGAGCAGACTGATGCAGTGTTTGTCCGTCTGTACCTGGTTTATTTCGCTTAACCTGATGTCTTCCTCCACGCTGTAGCGGGTGCGAGAGTGCCTGCCTTCTCACGGCTGAGCAGTGTCCCCGTGCGTGCGCCTCTTGGTGTCATCTGTTCATGCATCAGCAGACAGGTGTTTCTGCCTCTGAACTCTTGAGAGTAAGACTGCTCTGAACATGGGTGTGCAAGTACCTTTCCAAGACCTGGGTTTCAGGGGTTTCTTTTGGCTAAATACGCCTAGTTGCTCTACTTCTCGTTTTTTAAGGAATGTTAATACGGTCTTCCATAGAAGCTGCTCCTTTTCATATTCCCAGCAACAATGTACAAGAGTTCCAATCTCTCCATGGCCTCGCCAACATTTATTATATTGTTTTTGTTTTTTTTTTAAGTGGACATCCTAGGTGTGAGGTGGTATCTCATTGAGGTGTTGATTTGCATTTCCCTGATGATGAGTGATGTTGAGCATCTTTTTATGTGCCTTTTGGCTCTAAAACTGAATCGGGGAGACCTAAGAAATCCGAACAGACCAATTCCTAGTAACAAGATTGAATTAGTAAACAAGAAACTCCCCACAGGGGTGCCTGGGTGGCTCGGTTGGTTGAGCGTCTGACTCATGATCTCAGCTCAGGTCATGATCTCAGGGTTGTGAGTTCCGGCCCCGTGTTGGGCTCCACTCCAGGCATGGAACCTACTTCAGAAACAAAAGGAACAAAAAGAAAAACCAAAAAACTCCCGATAAACAAAAGTCCAGGGCCAGATGGATTACATGGGAACTCTACCAAACATTTAAAGATGAGTTAATACTTATTCTTGAACTATTCCAAAAAAAAAAAAAGAGGAAGGAATGCTTCCAAATTCATTCTGTGAGGCCAACATTACCCTCATACCAAAACCAGATAAAGACACTAAATATAGAAAATTACAGGCCAGTATCCCTGATGAACGTGGAAGCAAAAGTCCTCAACAAAATGCTAGTGAACCACAGTCAACAAGACAGTAAAAGGATTACTCACCATGATCAAGTGGGATTTATTCAGAGATGCAAGGATGGCTCAGTATTCACAAATCAGTCAACATGGTCCACACATGAACAAAATGAAGAATAAAATCACTGTCATTGTAATAGCTGCAGAAAAAGGATTTGACAAAATTCAACATCTATTCCTGATGAAAACTCTCAACAATTGGGTCTAGAGGGAACATAGCTCACGTAATAAAGGCCATATAGGAGAAACCCAGCCAACCTCACAGTCCGTGGGGAAGAACTGAGACTTTTTCCCTGAGATCAGGAACAAGACAAGAATGTCCATTCTTACCACTTTTATTCAACGCAGTACTGGGCGTTTTAGCTGCAGCAGTTAGGTAAGAAAAAGAAAGAAAAGGCATCCAAATCGGTACGGAAGAAGTAAAACTTGCACTATTTGCAGACGACGTGATGCTATATATAGAAAATCCTGGGACGCCTGGGTGGCTCAGTCGGTTAAGTGGCTGCCTTCAGCCCAGGTCATGATCCCAGGGTCCTGGGATCGAGTCCCATATCGGGCTCCTTGCTCAGTAGGGAACCTGCTTCTCCCTCTCTCTCCCTCTGCTTGTGCTCTGTCAAATAAATAAAATCTTTAAAAAAAAAAAAAAAAGAAAATCCTAAAGACTCCACCCGAAAACTACTAGGATTGATAAAGGAATTTAGTAAGGTCACAGGATACAAACTAATATACAGAAATTATGTGCCTCTTGGCCATTTCTGGTCTTCTCTGGAGAATCGTCTGTTCAGGTCCCTTGTCCGTGGTTGGGTCGGGTTGTTTGTGGTTTTGCTGCTGAGCTGCGGGGATTGCTTTGTCTCTACCTCCCGAACCTTCATGCCCCGACCCGGCAGACTCCTCTCTCGTGCTCTCTGCTCCTCAGCGGGGTCCTTCTGCTCTTTCTATTCCCCCCCGCTTGTCACTCTGCTCCTGCGACCTTTCCCTTACTTTCCAAAACATACTCAAACCCAATTCTGGCACGTCCTTAAAAACCCAGGTCCCGCCAAGGTTCCCACGATTCCCTCCCCAACGAGCCAGCCAGACGGGTGAAGCCTCGGGTGCGTCCTGTCCCTGTTGCTTCCGGGCAGTTGGCAGAGCTTGCTGTCGTGCACACACAAGGGGGATGGTGTTACACACGTGCTTGTTCTGTGTTGGCCGAGCTCCACCTCCGGCAGGAGCCTGGGAAGCCATGCGTGTGCGTGTGTGTGCTCATTCTAACAGAGCTGAGCTTCCAGCCCCAGTGAGGTCTGGCGACAGGAAAGGACCTGGAGCGAGCTCGGTCTCCGTGCACGAGTCACCGTTCATCCCCCGAGAGAAGGAGGAGCAGGCCAGGGTCAGGGAGGGAAGGGAAAGGTCAGCGACCAGGGCGCGTGAGCACGTTTGGTTGGAAGAGACTCAGGTTTACACAGAAGGTTACGACCGTGATGGGAGGCGGGCTCTGCAGGCTTCTGGCAGGCACGGGTTGGCAGGTGTGCGTGGGCTCACCCCGCCCTTCCACACGTCGCCAGGACAGCTGTTGACCGCGGGGGGCCGGCCCGGCTGGCGGTCGGCACACCTCTACCCGGGCACCCTGTTCCAGAGAATCCATGGCTTCCAACCCGGGGTGTCCTTGGCAGCCTGCTGCATGGCTGGTCCGTCCAGGCCAAGCTCTGGGTCACCCAGAGGCCCCCCCCAGCCCTCAGGAGGCCAGCAAGGGAAGGCCACTGGGCCCAGCCCGGAGCTGGGCATGTGATGTGGCCCTTGAGTCGTGCTGGTCCATCATGCTCCCTGCGACGCTGGAAGGACCCTTCGGTAGCCTCACAAAATCCAAGGAGATGCTCCACCTCATGGTCTTTATTGCCTCCTTCGTGAGACGCCCCCACCCCTCTCACTCTCGTCAGCTTTTAGTCGCCTCCAAGACCCTACCTTGCACCGTGAGCCCCGGCAACCTGTTCTGTCTCACTGATGTATGGCCACTTCTGGGTCCCGGTGTTCCCCGTGTTCCAGCCAGAGGACAGTTAGGGGCCCCCTTTTGTACCTTGAACGTTCCTGGCCGGGGCGAAGCCTGCTCCCCCGTGAATCCGGGGAAGCTGACGGCCAGGCAGGCCTCGGCCCTCCAGCGGGAGGGGAAATGAGCAGGTGGCCTGGTCCTCTCACCAGCTGACCTCACCCTTCCTGCTCGCTGACTTGGAGGACAGCTCCGTCTGTTGCGGCTTCTCTCTGACCCTCTCTCACTCCTCCGATTGTCTCGGTGCTGGGCCACTGGCTCCCCAACCTGGCCCGTGTGTAGGATCGCCTGGCTGCTTAAGAAAAGAAAGAAAAACATTCTTAGTCCCTATCCATGGAAATTTTCTTTAGGTGTGGATGGGGTCTGGGAATCTGGCGTTTTTGTAATACAGCTGACCCTTGAACTACTCGGGTGTTAGGGGCGCCGACCCCCACATGCAGTTGAAAATCCACATGTGGCTTTTGCCTCCTCCAGAGCTTACCTGCCAGTAGCCTCCTGTTGACCAGAAGCCTGGCCGTTGACACACAGTTGACGATCACGTCTTTTGCATGCTATATGCATCATGTCCTGTATTCTCACAATGAAGTAAGCCAGAGAAAAAAAGTCAAGAAAATCGTAAGGACGAGGAAATGCATTTACAGCGCTGTCCCCTATTGAAAAAAAAAATCCACGTAACCGTGGGCTTCCACAGTACAAACCCACGCTGTCCACGGCGTACACAGGAGAAAGCCTGGGGAGATGGGTGATGGGCTCCCTGAGCTGCTGAGTGTTTGTGTCCCTGATTGCCTGACTCTGTGCTTGTTGGATTTTCTAGGTGGTCGTATGTGTTTCAGCAATCGGGGAGAGGATGGATGTCATTGCAAAGCAGAAGGCAGACCCCCGAGGGGTGAGTCTCTTTCAGAAACCATTCACGCTCTTACCTGTGCCCCTCTCTCCCGCAGGGGGACTCGATCTCATCTTCATGCCGGGTCTCGGGTTCGACAAGCAGGGGAACCGCTTGGGGAGAGGCCGGGGCTACTATGACACATACCTGAAGCGCTGTCTGGAGGAGCAGGACGTGCGACCCTACACCATGGCCTTGGCCTTCCGAGAACAGATCTGCCCGCAGGTCCCCGTGGACGAGAACGACATGAAGGTGGACGAAGTCCTTTACGAAGAGCCGTCCACGTGAACCCTGACACCTGTGGCCAAAGGCTTCGTCCCAGAGAAAAGCAGAATGTGTCCGTTCGCCCGTCAGGACATCCGTGTGCGTATGGACTGCCTGCTTTCTAGTGTAATTGCAAAACACCTGACATTCAGCCACCTTCCCAAATCAGGAGTAGAACGTGAATAAAAATGGAGGCAATGGCCGTATGATTTTCAGCCTGTCTTACTGGTTATCGACGTGACGGGTGGATCTTTCTGTAGCGTTCACTCCGTGTTGGTGAGGTGCTGTGGTCCCACCCGAGTGGGACAGCCAGGGGATCTCGCCCCGCGTGGACACGGTTCCAGCGCGTCCTGTTGTGGGCCTGCTCAGGCTTTGGCAGGCTCGGGAGGCTCAGCCACTGTTCACTGACCTGTCAGTGTGTGTGTGTGCAGAGCT